GAACATGGCTTGGCATTGCCATTGTCATTGGATTGTTATTTGTTACATTGCTTGATGAAACTTTCTTGATGTCATTTGGTAACATTATGTGCAGGCCTAAACAGAAATACAACTGATGAAAAACTTAGAGAAGCATTTACCCCATTCGGCCAGCTTGTTGAGGGTAAAGAAATTGTGTTTTGCCTTCTATGATTCCCCTCCCCAAAATAGTTTCCTAAAATTTACGAGATGAAAAACACCATGGTCCTAAATTTCTTAACTTTTCAGCAAAGGTCATCATGGATAGAGCCACCCAAAGATCAAAGGGGTTTGCTTTTGTCACATATGCATCAATAGACGAAGCTGAGAAGGCCCGTGAAGGAATGAACGCAAAGTTCTTAGATGGATGGGTTATTTTCGTAGATCCTGCAAAGCCAAAGGAGTATAAACCTCCTCCTCAGCCCGAATCACAGCAGTCTTCTGAATTTGGCTTCAAAACAAACAAGACTATCGGTTGGTGTGGTAATTAGAAAAACGCCCCATGCCATATGATTGATGTGTTTGTTTAAAGGTCATATTAGACGTATCATGTTCGAAGACAACTTATTTATTCTTGATAAAGTTTATTGTGAGTCCATTCTTCTCGTTTTCTATTCAAGTTTGGTGGTAGGATTCAGAATGAGGCTTGTTACATTTTATGGACTTTTAATCCAGTAACTTTATATAGATATTCATGGTTAAGGGGCTACTGTTTGGAACAACTTTTGGCTTGAAAGTTTGTTCAATAAAATGGTGAAGATCTTGTTATACCTTGCTATTATTTATACATGGTCTTTTTAAACCTAAGAATGACTAAAAAGTTTGTATATCTAGCTTTGCTGAAATATGTTCCAAAAAGTAATTATTTCTTAAAAAAACGTGGTTTAGTTTTTCTCCTATATCTGACTTTGACATTGGATTATAAATGTGTATTTTAAAAGTGATTATATATATAAGAGGGTTGGGTTTCGGTTACAATGAAAGTTATGATGAGAAAGGTAAGAAATGATCTTCATACTTGGATCAATCTTAATTGAAAAGAATCACTAGATCATAATAATGAGATACATTGGATCCATTCTTTTCTAAAACACAATTCATGGTTTATTTTGGGATCAAAAGTCGTATCTGTAGTAACGAACTTGCAACACGGTTCAAATTCATTCTTACACTTTTCACTTTTAACTCCTATTCACACACGATGTCGTACATGAGATTAGGATAAGTGTGATGAAATGTAGTATTTAGATTTTTTTTAATCTGCCATGTGACAAAAATCATGATTCTTAAAAAAAAAAAAAAAAAATTAAGTAAAAGAGCTAAATAATTCTAGTACATAATTTGATGTTTACTTTTTCTTACACCTAACACCGAACTAAATATTTAAAAGTAATAATTTGACTGTTAAAAATGAGATAAACATGACTAAAAACATAATATCAAAACACTAAAAGTTAATAGTTAGAGAGTAGTTTGGAGGTATGGGTTTAATGACTAGCTCGTGCTATCCGATATTTGGATGTTGTGTTCAGTAGTTTTGGTGTTGTTTCTTGCATGGGGCATCCCTTAGATTCGCTTGGTTGTTGTTGTTTGAGATTCGATTTGTTAGATAACTTCCTTTATGTTGTGTTGTTGGAGCCTAACTTGTTGCCGTCTTTAAGTTGCTTGTCTTTTTTGGGTTCGCTAGTGTGCTTTCTTAGTGTGTTATTTGTCTTTTTGGCTAGCTAAGCTCTACTCTTGGGGCGTTGTCTTTCAGTGTGTAGGGGTGGTGTGTGCTTCGGTTTGGTTTTGAGTGTTCGTTTATGCCTTTTGGCTTTTTTAGACTTGCTGTTCTTTTGCTTCTACACTTTACAAATCCTTCGACTTTTCTTTTTGTATCCCCTTCGTTTAGCATTAATATACTTGTTTGCATTTCAAAAGTTGTTTATAACTCAAAATTATAACTATAATAATAATAATAAGATAATTGCCATCAAAACCAACATTACAACTCATTTTAACAAGTATTCGCGGATCAACTGGGTTGTTTACTAAAATTTATGGATAAGCGCCAACAAGAATAAGAGGTCTAGATAAGATAAGAGTTCTGATTTGGGAAAGTATTAACTGAAAAATTGATTTTTACTTAATATTTTATATTAAATGATCAAAATTTTAATCGAATTCAAATCTAAATCAAATATTAATTTTGAATCCTTCTATCAAAATCAAATTAAATAGTAATTTGAAATATTCAATCTTTTCAACATTTAAGGTCTATTTGGCTAATGCCGATGAATAAAAATGAAAATGACAAAAAATAAAAATAACAGAGAATGAAAATGTGAATTAATTTTCATTCGTCTAATTTAACCAGAAATAAAATTTTGAGATTCTACAAAAATGAACCCATTATATTATAAAAACAATTTTTTTATTTTCGTTCCCATTAATTATTGGTCGATACCTCCAACCAAACACCCCTAGATCAAATCAAAATTTGCTGTCTACCCTAGCCTATTTCTTCCCTATCCTTTCAAGAGAGATAAAAACATTCATGGGGTTCTTTCTTGACAATTCACACTCCCAACAATCAAGATTTCAAAGGTAAAGCCCAAGTGATCACATTCATCCCACCCAAAGGAGGTTTCTTGAAAATCTTTCATTAAACCTTTTTTTGCTGCTTCCTCTTCTTGTTTTTCGTTTTATGATCAAAAGAAAACAAGAAAACGTTAATTTAAACCTTTCCAAAACCCTAACTTACCTTTCTTCCCTTTCCGCCGATATACAAACTTAAACCATTTCATCTTTGTTTGCATCTGCGCTCAGGAGATTCAATTAGTTGTGGAGTGTTTTTTTTCCCCAAGAAACAATGTCACTGTGTTTTGCTCCTCAATTTGCGTCAATTAGCTTCTCAGAATTCCATTCTCAAAAGGTCAGTCCTGATTCAAGTCACTCGCAATTTTCGTAAGTTTATGCATTCGATAGTTTCGTCTTATGCGTTTCCTTGTTGTTGAATCTTCATCATAAGCTTGTTAGGAAGAAAAAAGACTCAGAAAATAGGAACAAGAATGATATCAGAGAACAAGGATGAAACTACTATGAAAAAGGGTAGAGAACAAGTCATTTTTTTTATTAAACAACTCCAGGAAATGATATTGATGATATCTGTTTACATCAAAATTAATTTTTTCATCCTACAGACTCCAAGTAGATTACAGAACTTGTTAAACCAGGAAACAGGCTAGTGATCAAGAGAAAAAGCTAAACCAAGAAACACAGGTCCCTTTTTCCTCTTGAGAAAACAGAAAGTTTCATTTTCTTGCGGAATCTCAAATCCCTCTTGATTCTTGCTATCAGCAACATGATCCTTGCTTCTGAAGTGCACGAGATTGGTAAAGCTTAAAGATTACTCTTGTTTTTTTGTGGTTTTTTAGTAGATAAAATCCAACATCAGTATGTTTGGTCATTTATATAGAATAGGATTTTTATAAAATTTTATAGTTTGAAGTGTTATCACGATAAATCAAAGTGCTCCTTAACAAATTTCAGAATTATCCCAAACCAATTGTTGCTGCCAAAATTTGGCTACTTGTAGTTATCATCGACTGCTTCTTGATGATAATGGAACTGCACATGAACATAGATTCATATCTGGATATGCCTTTCTTATCATTAGGATCTTCGGCATAGTCACTGTCTTTAAAACAAGACAAATTAGAATAATCGTCCTTTTTATAAAAGCCCATAATCAGTTGTTAGTCTCTAAGTACCTAAAAGATTGTTTTGTAGCCGAGAGAAGCTTCCTTTGGACTTTCGACGAACCTGCTAATAAGACTCACAATATGAGTTGTATCAAGCCTGGTTGTTCTTAGCTACATTAAGGTTCCTACTGTTTGCCTGAAGAGTGTGCTGTCGACATTATCTTTTTCATTATTTTTTGAAAGCAACCAGTATTGTGACAGGATTAGAACTTCTCATTTGAAATCGATCTAAAATCTCTTCTACATAAGAAACAAAAATTCTGGCATCTAATTGCCTCATTTCAACACCGAGGAAAGGATGCATCAATAATATCAAAATCAACCATCATAGACTTCTGAAAATTCTCAACCATAGCACTATCATTCTGGGTAAAGATTAGATCATCAACATCCATAGAGACAATAAGACTTTTCCACCATCACCGGTTTTAATAAGGAGAGCATGTTCTTAGGGACATTTTGAACTTCTTAGAGAAATAAGCATCTATATGGTTATACCACTTGCTAGGTGTTTGCTTTAGTCAGCCTTCTTTAGTTCGTATATCTTATGTTCATCCCCAGTTTTAATATAACCAGGTTTTGGTCAACAAATACCTGCTCTTTCAAGCTTTCAGAAGAAAAGCTGACTTCCCATCAAGTTGAAAAATAGGTCACAAACAGTGAGCAACTAGAACAATAATCAATTACTAAACTAAATAGTATTATACCCTGCTACAGGAACAAAAACTTTGTACCACACAATAAATGGTGTTTATAGGCTTTTAAGAACGAAACATGTTTTTATTTCTCGATTCTTTCTCATTCAAACTCTTATCTTTTACAGATATTTTATAACATTTTTCTTGCAATTGATTGATTCTCAATATAACCACTTCCAATTTTGAAACAAAAAGGACATTGGAGATTGTCTCAGTAGAATCTGTATGAGTATGAATTTGTTATCTACCCCCTTCCTATAACAGGATCCCTGAAAGATTCATAAGTGTGGAGAAAACACATTTATTTGCACTCGTTTGCTTGCTGCAACTATGTGTCGGCCATTATGGTTTTGAAGGCGTTGAACAATGCTGCATAAATTCGGAATTGGTTAAGAATAGAAAAACTTTTGTAAGTAATGAATAATTAGTAAAATCAAACAACTTTCAAAATACTAAAACTTTTGCTCTGCCTTTGTGTGATCAAATTTACCAGGGAACAGAATTTTACTGTGAGTTATCAATGTATACTAAAACTCTTGGATATGATATGAACATATTATTATGCTTCTTTTTGCAGCTATTGGGTTCATTTGCTTCACCAAAAAGGGACTTTCGAGTATATGCCATGTCAGCAGTTGCAAATGACGCATCAAATTTCATCCCTGCAGCTCCAATATTTTTACCTGAAGGACCATGGAAGCAGGTGATGGAGTTCAGTTTCTCTATGCATGTTTGGAACTAGAGCACATAAAAGTTGGGATTGTTCGTCTCAAAAAGCCATTAAGAGTTTGTGATACTTTTTACCTTGATAAGCATTAAACCAATGCCTCATATCTTTGTTTATTAATTATTTTAGGCGATTGCATTGGATTTGTGATGTCATAGAAACATAGCTGAGATAGGCCATTTTTTTGTTTAACATTTCTATTAATATGTAATTGAATGTTCCTACTGTGCTTTTCGTGTATGAATTAGTTTCGTATTTGGTACTTTGTTCTGGTGTTCAATGTTGCATAGAAATGGTTTACATTGTGTTTTCGTAGCACCTTATAGCAAAATTGGGGCCAATTTTTTTTTCATAGTATATGTTGCCAATAGGAACAATTATATGTCTCCTGAAACATATAGTGATTGACTAGCACCAAGTATATGGTAGGAAGACTGCAGAGGAGAGGGAATATGTGATGTAATCATTTCATCAGGAAGAAGGCTTGTTGTAACACCCATTTAACTTTAAGTGATAACATGTGCTTTATGTAAGTGCAGTGTTGATAATTATACTTGTATAATGTACCATTAATAGACAGTTGAGGCTTATTTAAATGCTTCTTGTGGAGGATTTTTGTTTTTATTTTTAATATTATGGAGTAGATAACTTGTATTTATTATTAGGCTAGAAACTGAAGGTTGAAGGCTCTAACCATATAAATATGTCTAAAAATCAGAAATTCAGAAATTCAAATTTGATAGAAGCGTGACTGTGTGAGTACTGGAATTAGAAGAAAAATAAATCAAAGGGGGGTGTTTGTGCTGGTGTAATATGTATTTTGGTGTATTTTGTATTCATAGTGAAGTTAATTCATTCATTGGTACCTTTTGTTATGCAAGATAGTACTTTGCAAGGCTTAAATGCTCCTCAAATAATGTCTTTAGACATGTTGACCTTTTAAATCTTTTGTATTGATATGATCTTGACTAAAGGATCTTAATTGTGAAGATTCCTGGTGGGGTTACTGCTGCTGAGGGATTCAAAGCTGCAGGGATGTATGGAGGATTACGGGCCGTAGGACAGAAGCCTGATCTTGCACTAGTGACTTGCGATGTAGATGCCGTAGCTGCAGGTTCGTTCCATACCTAGGTTTACCTTTTATGACTGAAAAAGGCTTGGTCAATTAGACATAAGAATGTAGCAAGCATGGGCCCTGCATAGTTGTTAAAAGCGCGCCTAAGGTCTGAGGCTCATAAGGCTCGAGGTCTTGAGCTTTTCTCAAGTTGAGGCTCAGCATATTCACGAGGCTCACTAAGACACTGCACCTTGGCTGAGGCACCTTGTGGGCCTAGGTGCGCCTCATAAAGAGTTACTAAATACCTAGTTAAACCCTAAGATTTAATAAGTTTTGTCATCTTCTCATCTCCTAGATTTCTTAAAAAAAAAACGTGTTATTAAATAGATGACATAAGTCAAACCCTAATATTAAATACTAAGTTCTTAGAACTTCAAGCCTCCTTCTCTATAATTACCCAGACCTTAAAACTTCTCCTTCACGGCTCATGCTTTAACCCTTCTGCCTCTATCGAAGTAGTGTTGGTTGCTGCATTGGAGACTTGTTGTGTATAACTGTGTGTGTGAGTGTGTGTGTGTATATATTGATAAGATGCGCCTCACATTCCTGAGGCCTGTGCCTTACAACTGCTCCTCGCGCCTAGGCCCCGAGATGCCATTGCGCCTAAGTGCGCCTTGATCCTTTCACAACTTTGGGGCCCTGTAATCAACCTATGTAATATCATCTTTTGACTTCGTTATGTCAAACTTCTTTCAGGGGCATTTACTAAAAATGTGGTTAAAGCTGCACCCGTTCTTTATTGCAGAAGTATGTTAGAAAATTCTACAACGGTGGGTTTTCATTCGTACTATGTTTTTGGTTACTAAGTCTCTTGAACATTTCTTCTGACTTCAGTCATGCAACCTCTTAGGCTCGTGCAGTGTTGATAAATGCTGGTCAAGCAAATGCAGCCACGGTAACTTCCATACGAGACATGGGATTTGATTTCTTGTTGTCTGCTAAATGTGTTCTGTAGAAATGGTTTAAGGTCTTAGTTCGTTCCGGTTTGATTCAGTTAATGAATCTTCAAACTTGTATGGTGATTTTTGATTAATCCACTAATCGATAACTAGGGACTTTAATCGAGAACTGCCTAAGAGACCTTTTGTATAACTTCCAGGGGGATGCAGGTTACCAAGATGTAATAGATTGTTCAAATACCCTTGCTAAGGTATGTGAACCTTGTTACGTTTCTGATATTTCTGTTCACAAAAAAGGATACTGAGGTTCGAAAGATTCTACAGTTACTTCAAGTGAGGCCAGATGAAATATTGATAGAATCAACTGGTGTGATTGGTCAACGAATAAAGAAGGTAAATATAGCAAATCATTTATTATGAGTTTCTTTAGCGTGTGATTAATTTGTTATGTTATGTGCAGGAGCCTCTTCTCAGTTCACTTCCTAAATTAATTAGTTTACTTTCATCAAGCATAAAGGGGTAATGAGCTAATTTCATATCACTCAACTCAAGCAATTTCTTTTGTCTATTTCATCTTTTTCATGCATCTTATTCTTTCCTTCATATGTTCTATTAAATGCTGATGGTCCTTGTACTTAGGTAGAAGTATAAAGTATTATCTTGATTGAAAGCTACTATTCCCTCTGTCTAAATTTTTTGCAACTTTTGACTTGACATATTATTTAATAAAAATGTTTGCTTATGGGCCAAGTATCTAACATGTCCCTCAATAAGGACAAGATAAAGGAAACTTGTGGATCAAAACCGTAGTTGCTAATGATTAGGAAGGGCATAAAAGTGAACTTGAATCAGAAACTTACCTAACCATGGGTTTGCAGAGCAGATTCTGCTGCTGTGGCAATAACAACAACCGATCTTGTGAGCAAGAGCGTGGCAGTAGAGTTTGAGGTACGTATAGATTTGTTATAGCGTATATGCATTCACTGTATCCTTTTAATTTCAGATGGGGTTTGTTTTTAGCCTTTTACGGCTAGATTGGATGAAAGGGTGATTGTGGTATGTGTACACTATCGTATATCACTAATGGCCAAGTTATTAGTATGCATTAATTCTTGCATCAACTTGATTTGATCCTACAGGTCTTATTTGTTTAGGAAGTTCAATATTTGCATTTTATGGGCCTTTTTTATATGATAATAGGAGAATTAATATGTGATTATAGGTTTCATTTGTTTGTTACGAGGAGAAATGAGATGGGATCACACAATGAGAGGAAAATGGCACAAGTAAACCAGACATAAGTTCTTTTTAACAATTTGCGTTCATTATATCTAGATCCATAATAACACACACACATATAGATTTAAAGTTGTACTAACCACTAAACTAACAACACATATATCTTTCCGCTACACAAGCAACCATTTCTTCACAAAGTTCATTTTGTTGAGATAATCAGTTGTTCTCAACTATGGGGAAACACAATAACTAAATTCTTATCTAATAATATGTTTCTACTAATTAGAGAGCTTGGGCAGGTATGGCAGATGGGTTTATTCTTGTGCATTAATGTGTGTGTGTGTAGGTATGTATAGTAATCTTGAGTTTGATTGTCTTAAAGCTTGGAATTCAAAAAGCAAACACTGATCAGTGCTGTACACCCACCTGGTAGAAACTTCTATTAGAAAATAGAACTTTAACCAAGCTGCCAAAAGGCTTCACCTGTTCAAGAGCAAATTTTCATATTGTTCTAATGGTATCTTGCAGGTTGGCGGCACCCACATAAGAATCGGGGGAATGGCAAAAGGCTCCGGAATGATCCATCCAAATATGGGAACACTTCTTGGTGTATGTAACTATTGATTTCATGAAGTGATGTTGCTATACCAAAAAATGTGTTGCTAAGAAATTTTATTAAATTGAAAATCTGACAACAGTCTCAGAGTATAAACAGACACTAGAAAAAAATGTGCGTTCTTACCCCATTTCTAATTGTTAATTTTCCAGGTTATAACCACTGATGCTCTTGTAGATACTGATATCTGGCGAAAGATGGTACAGGTTGCTGTAAATCGAAGTTTTAACCAAATTACTGTGAGTAGCACCATGGTCTATAAATTTGGTTGTCTTTTTCTGTTTGGTGACACTCTCTTATTGCTCTGTCTGCCTCAAAATATATGGGGCGGTTTTTTTTTTTTTTTGGCAAAATTTCAGTCCAAGATTATCTCTTTTGGCCATTAATAATCAGTACAAAGATTGGTAACGTTGATTTAGAAGTGAACATGGTTCGGTTTTGCATGAACTTTTCATTTTACAGGACCGAACTACCATGCTTGGTTTGTTGCATAAACAAACTGCCAACTGACTGAAACCAAGGTGGCTTGGTAGCTCTGGTTTCTCAGGCGGTTTAGAGAATTGACCCTTCAAGATTGAAGATCAAGTGCATACAGATTTGTACATTGTATTTGGATATTGGATATACATCATATTTTTTAATCTGATTATTATACCACGCTCATATTTAACACGAGTTTATACTTACACTCTCAGATTTTTACAACATTTTTGTTCTAGCAACGAGTTTATGTTCGACTTTTAAGTGCTCTGTATCGTTAGTTACTTTGGTTCATATAAATCAATGATAACTAAATTAATCTGCTAAAAATTAAGACAAATATTCAATCTTTGCAAGAAGTGATGGCTTTTAATTTAAAAAACATGTGTGCATGTGTCATTGGCTATGTTTGGTTTTGCTTTAGGAGCACCAAAACTGGAACACCAATTTCTGTTTCTTTAAAACTGACCGAAACCAAACTTCTAACAAATCCAAACTGGCATTTCGGGATGTGTATTGGTTTTCAGTTTCTGTTGTGTTTGCCCTTGCACAAGGTTCTTCTTTTTTATGACTGCTGATAGATATTAGAGACATTTAACCAAACTGAGTCCTATACTATTGTAGGTAGACGGGGATACCAGCACCAATGATACCATTATCGCTTTGGCTAGTGGGCTATCTGGATCAAACAGGATATCGTCACAGCACAGTTCTGAGGCAACACAACTACAAATGTGCCTTGATGCAGTATGTATGAATGCCAATTTTACTAAAACCCGACATTCATTCGCATATAATTCATGACAATTAGTTACATTTACAATTCTTTATTGACCTTTCTCAGGTAATGCAAGGGCTTGCTAAATCAATAGCCTGGGATGGAGAAGGGGCAACGTGTCTCATGGAGGTGTGCATAATATATTGATCGTAATCTGTTTATTTTTAGTCAGATCAATTCGGTTCAAAGCGAACATCTTGCATATGGAAAATTTTGTGATCCCTCTATTCTACGTGTATCATATGGCAACAAATTTGGTTACTTTGATGGTAGCTAAAACTCTTTATCGAAGAGGGTATTTATAGAGGCGAGTTGTGCGCAGGTCACTGTAACTGGTGCGGGCAGTGAAGCTGAAGCAGCAAAGATCGCACGTTCAGTAGCATCTTCATCACTTACCAAGGCATTATAAATTTAACATCTGTGTATGCTATGAACTCTTATGATATCTAAAGGTTTAATGTGGCTAACGATTTCTATGTCTTATCAGGCTGCAATCTATGGTAGGGATCCAAATTGGGGACGCATAGCTTGTGCTGCAGGATATGCAGGAATTCCTTTTGACTCGAATGCACTCAGAATAGCACTTGGAGATATTCTGCTTATGGATGGAGGGCAACCACTTCCGTTTGATAGGTAGGAGCAAACCTTGATTCATCATACACTTGAACATGTTGTGGCTCCTTCCTCTAAGACACAAGTTATTTAGCCAAATGACCTCCTTACAAGTGCTTTTTAAATCCATGGCCGTTTGACAAAGTTTATAGGCATTCTTGTGTACCAAAGTGGTATTCTTCTTTTCAACCTGTCAGAAGGTCATGGATTTAAAAAAACAACTGGACAGAAAGTCATTTAACCAAATGACCGCTCTAGACACACATACATACAGTACCTGTGCCCATACAAAATCATGTTATTCGCTTCTTAAATACTAAGAATCTGCAAATGTTCCAGGTCTGCGGCTAGTAATTATCTCAAGGAAGCTGGTGACACCCATGGCACCGTCAAAATTGAAATTTCCATAGGTAAGTTTCCTTGTTTAGCATCATACAACTTGAAACAGATTCATATTACCCTCATAAAATTGGGCCGTTTAGGGATTTGACCTTAAACGAGTTTCTTAGTAACATGACCGCCTGGCCTGCTAAAGAAAAAATGGCTTTATGCTCATCCGAAGGTCATGGATTTAAATAAAATCTCATTTAAGGTTATATACTTAAATATCTTCATAAAATTTAACCTTATGTTCCCTTACACTACTGAAATCCAAAATTTTGTACATAATAACATAAGGGCGTAATGGTAAATGGACGTGGTTGTCTTCTTATGAGATTGACCTGTTTTGATTCAAATTCATTCTTTTTGCCGGAAACAGGGGATGGACCAGGAACAGGGTTAGCTTGGGGATGTGATTTAAGTTACGATTATGTTAAGATTAATGCCGAGTACACCACCTAGATAATCTGCACTTTCCTTATGAGCTAAGATAAGAAGACATGCATGGTATGTACTCGCAAGATCTTTTCTGTACGATTATTGTTATTCTTGTAATCTTATTTGTATTATTTCGGTGGTTGGATAAACTCAAGCTCGGTTAAGTGGTGCCTCTTCTGCAAAAAGAGAGAAAACAAAGCAATTCCTATGGGCTATAGTTGAAATCGGCCTTGGCTTACACAAAGGTTTCTCTGTGCTTGCAAAGGTTCATTCATCTATTCCATTCCATTTTCTGGATCTTATTTACATGAGAATCCACAACATGATAATGGAATTGGGGGAAACGAGCTATGCAAATCCATTCCATCTTGTGAATCTCTCAAGAACCGATAGTTGTTTTTTTTCATTTATTGTAAGAACCATGACGAGATAATTCCTATGCAAGTTTTCCAATCATATCATGGATGAAACTGTCCGTAGTGATCATGGTTTTACCGGAGAACTTGGTTCAGGACCTTGTTGAGACATGGTCTATGTAAGACAAATTTGCTATCCTTTACTTGCTAGAGAATTGTGGACGTGTCTATCTATCAGGATATAATAATCGATAGATAGTGTAGCATGAAGGGATTATTTCGGCAAACCGAAGGCAGAGCCGGAATGTATTTTGGGCGGTGGGGTGGTGGTACAATTTAACTGTAAAAACAAACTTGTTGAAATATTTAACAATATTAGTATAGATTGGTTGGTTGGTTTCTTGTGTTGCAAGCAAGGGACCCATGTTTAGGTCGAAGCTATAAGTTTTATAAAACATACAAAAACACCGAAGTTTAAGTTAGAGAACTAAAAAATTGACATTGGTGGGACTCAGACATGGGTTTTCTACAAAAACACCGATTTATTATGTAGTGGCTCAGACTACCACGTTCTGCCTTCTAAAGGATACGTCATGAACCATGTGTTGATTCTTTTTCTACAAAAAGTTGGACAATTTTGAACACATCAAATCCTAAAAACCTGATTTGTCATTCTGTAAGGTGTCAGAATTTTCAATGTCAAATTTTGTTCAAAAAGGTCTAAACTCAAAAGTTATGCTTTTAGGGTTTTGAGGATTTTATAGTACATCTAGTAGGGGTGTTCAAAAACTCGATTAACTCGATCAACCCAACCCAATCCAACACAAAATAATTTAACCAAAAACAACCCGATGTCTAATCGAGTTGTAAAATTGTCAAACCGTAGGTATTGGGTTACTATTATTCGAACCCAACCCAACCCGATGAACCTGATATCCTTTTATTTCTTGGATTTAATATGATTGTTGAATTTCTATTAATATATACATTAGACAATTACACTATCATGTATGCTTTTCATATACATATTTTCATTCTATTTATATCTCTATATAACTCATTCATATATATGTTTAGTAACTGTGAACATATATATGTAAATTGAGAAAATTAACTGAATGTGATACACGTAAGAAATATGGATAAGTTGTATCAAATGGTTGATGATAAAAAAAAATTATGAGTAGAGAAATAACATATTCAAAGTTAGAAGAATATTTTAATATACCAACCCGACCAACCCGTACGGGTTGGGTTGGGTTGGGTTGGGTTTTGGTTTGGGTTGGGTTAGGTTAAGATTTTTCCAAACCATAAGTATTGGGTTGGTTTGTTCAAATGTGTTTAACCCGATCAACCCAACCTATGAGCACCCCTAACATCTAGGGTTTTGATTTTGGATATGATTTGGGGTTGATTTTGGTGTATTCTAGGTTTATTTGTAACCTGGATAATGTTTCTAATGATCGATGATTCTGGATCTAAGCCTTCACCAAATGAAGCTCAAAATTGGGGTAAAACCTAAATTTTGTCTAAATATAGCAAAGTGAATTCAAGTTGCTTTGCAAAGCTTTGTACATGCAAAAATGTATATTTTTAAAGTCTTAAAGATTGTTTACTTGATGTTTATCAAGTGCGTAGAGTATTTGATGAGATTTACATTTTTGGGGAATTTGGGTTATGAAATCCCTATAAAATGTTTAGAATGATATATTGGGTGTTATGAGACATAAAATAAAATTTATTAAAAAAAGGATTTAATTTGGATGATTTGAGACAAATTATGATTTTAACTCTTGAAAAGGGTATTTTGAGTTAAAGAGTGATTTCATTAGTGTTGTCGAATAAATCGAAATGTTTGTTAACTTGGTTTTGGTCAAATATGTTTTGGGGACTTTATCCAACTTGTGAAAATTTGATAGTAACGTATTAGCCTTTTTGGTCATAAACATATGAATATTCGAAGTATGTCTTTTTGGCTTATGCGGTTTATATTGACTTTATTAAAATAGTCAAGTATTTTATGAGACCTTTTTGGTTTGATTTTAACTCAAAGAAGTTTGGGGACATTAGTCTGGTTTATTTGATTTATGTCGAGCCTTTGGAATTATACGCGGTCATGGCATATATATATATATATTTGATATTATACGTTTTAGGTGTGTTAGTCATTCAATTTGTGTTGTGTAAATTTAGATTGTAATGCAACTGGATCCATAGGCAAGAGTCGATTTTGGTTAGGAAGGTCATTTTCGTGTTGTTGCTTGAAATAAACATTGGGTCTTTATAGGCAATAAGGTGTGGACTCTTGGAGCTAGACATCGACCACTGACCAATATAATATAGTTTTTAGCAGATTGTAGCTTAGAAATAGGCATTGGGTCTTAATAAACGATATGGTGTGGACTTTTGGAGTCGGGCATCGACCAATGACCGTATACTGTAATTTTTAAGTGAATTAGTTTAACTTAAATTTTTTGAGGATCTCAAGGTAAAGACTTAAGGAGATGAACTTGGTGACTTAATTATCCATAAGTGACGCTTGTATAACATTGACTTGTAGCTTACTTATGTGTTCCGTCATAACAAATGGTAAATAGGTCTCGTTATCTTATGATGTTTTACGCCTTTCCAAGGGTAAATATGATTTAATTATGCAAAGAGCGTGGTTAAAGTTATATTTTCCGTTTTGATGTTTTATAATCTTATTCTTGGTCGTGTGAGTATTGGATTTAGTCGGGTATAAGCGTGTGTTTTGATTTAAAGGGTCTCTATCACGAAAATGGTGGTTTTGAGAAATATGTCGTTTACATTCTAAAATACATTTTGTATTTTAAATCATGAATATAAAATACTAATCTTTCCGTTTTACGATTTTATATAACTAATGAAAACTAACCATCACCTTTACCAATCTGAACCACAACTGACCATCACCACTATAAAGGGGTATTTTGGTCATTTATCATACATTCCACTTCGGAAGCCACATTCTACCAACCAAACAGAAAAATTCCAAATCATTTAACGAATTCCATTCCAATTCATTACAACCAAATGTGCAGTCAAATTCCATAAAAGTCAAATGCTTTTGAAAGATTTCATTCCTTCTATTAACATTTTACGAAACCAAATGCCACCCTAGTTGTAGAGACAATGAGATCGGAAGATATTCAGTGCGAGTTGAATGTCGCTTAGCAGAGTCAAACAGAAAACAATACATGGAACACGATATGTAAGTCCTATGTGAAGCAGTGTAGGCCTAAGCTAGACAGGGCTGATCGTGCGACTTAGATCAGTTTACGGTATTAAGTTGAGATAATATAAAAGCATCTCCAACAGATTCTCCAAAATATAGAATCAAAAATCAAAATCTCCAAAAAAAAATTATATTAATCTCCAACAACTTCTTCATTTTGGAAATTACAATATGAATTATATTACTAAAACATTAAAAAAATCATAAAAATTATTATTTATCTTTCATATACATTTAATTTTAAGGATTCTTATTAGTAAGAAGAATAAAATATAATTTATTTTCATAAGTAATCAGTTTTGGAGACTTCTCCCAACTGTCTTGGGAAATCTGTTGAATAAAAATCCCCAAAATTTACATTTTAAGGAATCCTTTGAAGATGCTTTGAGGTCCTGTTTGGTTTGATGGATTTGATTTGAAAGGATTTGGAATTGAATTCTATTCCAATCCGTTGTTCAGTTTGAAGGATTTTCTCGATTTGAAATCTTAGAATTTTATTGAAACACCACAAACATAGAATTTGGAATCCCACGGAAGTAATCAATATTTCGGAGAATTTCGTAATATTTGTATATAATAATGTTTTAAAATATGTTAAAAACATTGGTTTTATATTAATCAATCGATAAAAAAGTAATTTAATTATTTATAAATTAGTTATAAAGAATGTAATTCAATTACATTCCAATTCTTACGAAACAAACATACCAAAGATTCCAAATTATTTTATAAAATCCAAATCTCTTAAAACCATTTAATGAAACCAAACACACATTTAGAGGGTGTTTGGATTGCTTATTTGAAACAACTTATACTAGTTTACAAAAGCACTTATTAACTTATTATAAGTCAGAAGAGTTTAACTTATTCAAAAACTTCTTATTACCGGCTTGACACCAATATAAATTGTTTATCCAAATACTTAAAAATACTTATTACTGATGTTACAGATTAAGCCAATAAACTTTTATTTTGAAAATATGTGGAATGCAAATTGCAAATGATATAGGCCCATATATACCGGGTATATAAAGTTTGACCCAAAGGCCCATTTGAAATCTATTGTCGGAATCGGAAGGGCGTTGACCGAGTTTTTTCTTGCCCAATAATCTGTCTCTGGTTTATCCATTCGGCTGAATATATCATTGATTGCACAATTTTCTCTACCTAAAACTAAAAGCTCCATTTCCTAGCCATGTCCTTCGATTCCGATCATCGACTCTCCATCCTCAAATTCATGTAATCGCCTCCTTTATTGCCACCAATCAAATCATGTGTCACTTCACCGTTTGAATTTCTGTACTTCTGCGGATCTAAATCGATTTTTTGCGATCCAATCGTTTTTTGTTTAGGGTTTGGTGGTTGATTTTCTTTTCGTTTTGGAAATTAGGGTTTGAAGAGCATCGAACAATGCCTTCGGTGCTGTCACTCGAATTTATTACTAGCCCTTTGGTTACCTCTTTCTATGGTGGTCGGTCGTGTTCTCATCGTCTCAAACGTCGCCTTATGAAAGGTGATCGTCGTGGTAATCTTAGTTAACAATCAGCCTAGTTTTGTGTTTCTCTCCGTCTCATTAGCATCTGTAATATTTTTATTCGGGTTGTCCTTTCTACATCTGCCGTGTTTTCTTCTACATCGCCTTACTGTTTCTGATACGGTCTATTAGCTATATCTGTTTAATCTGAGATCGATCGATAAGTGAAAACCGCCTTTAAGACATACGGGATTGTTTGGATTCGTTTCTTCGTGGGAGAAGTTTGGTCTATCCAGATCTAACTTACGGGTAAAAGGTACAATTTTTTTTTACTCATGTAGACCTGCTTTTGTTTTTGTATTTTTATGTATACGCTGGATTTTTGCACTAAATTTCAAGAATCATATGTAGTGTAGAACTTTAAATGTTTCATTTCTTGATAATTATATTGGATGGGAAAACGATTTATTTGGTTTTTCATTGGTAGTATATGTGTTTTTTATAGGACGAACGGCAACAAAGCTGTTGGTTAATGCAAATTTCATTTTTTTGAGGTCTAATGGATGTCTGTAATGCATATGATATGATGTTGCTTTTGAGATTTAAGTATGATCCATGGTGCAGAGCTTTTGTGCATGTGTAGGATAATAAGCAAAAATATCTTTCCCTATTGGGATTATCCAAGTTTTGGGACTTTCTTATCATAACCTAGAGGTCATGAGTGCAATTTTTACCACTGGTATCTAGTAGTGATTGACCAAGATGAGTTAAGGTCTTAAGGGGTTTGGGGGATTGGCAATAGTTGCTCTCCCTCTGGTGTGATTTCCAGATCTTTTCTAAAAACTTGCAAACGACTCATCCCCTGGCTTTTGTTGCTATGCATTCTGGTTATAAATGAAGCAGAGAGAGATATATGTTGGCTTTATTGATGATATGGAGATTCTTTGCAAGGGAAAATAAACCATATACTTAGTTTTATTATGTATGCTCTTTTTCCCTTCAACCCTGACCTAAAATCTGCACTTGACCACTGAATACCCTTAGCTCCATGTGATGCCTGTTACTAGAGGCAACTGGTTTTATTGGCTTGCTGATGTGATCAGTCTGGATTGCTTCATCATTGGTTGAGCTGCATCATCTAGGTCTACTAGTTCTTGCGCTCATGTCTAGTTGATGTTTTATGATATGGTTATGTCACTTTTGTTTCGAATGATACTGATGGTCATGCTTGTTTCCTTTTATTATTGCTACTCTTTGACAAATTATTGTGTTCCACTAGATTGACAAAAAATATTATTTTTTTGGTGTCGTTTGTTTTCTAACATTTACCCTCTTGGACAGTTAACTGGTGCACCCAGTTATCAAGTTATTGTGGAATCCTCGATTTATTGCAAACCATTGCAACTCTTGGTTGATGCCAATGGACATTTGCTCTCACATTGTATTGCCAGTTACTGATGATGTAAAAGATCTTTATGGGTTGTGTATGCACACACTTGAATCTAGTCATAGAGTCACGAAAGCTCTATGTGAGGATGAACTCAGCAATGGTGTGACCGAGTTTCTGAACATTCAAGATGACAGAGAGGAGGATTCCGGCTCCTCACTGCCTTTTAAAAATTCCGAGTTTCAAAACAAAGATGCTTGTGATGATTCTCATCCAAGCAAAATAGCGACTCAGACTCCTGAAGAGTATCTTTGCAAGTGTGCAACATGTCCTTGTTCATGTAAGACCTTGTTATCTCCTCCAGGTGTCGTTGCTAGTGAAGTATCCACATACGATGACAAGGTTAAATCTCTTGGTCCATCTGCCTTTTGTTCCAAATCTGTTCCTGTAAGTATTGGCTATTGCTATGATCATTAGATTTGCGAGTCAAAATCTGTCATTTCTGCCGGTTTATTAGATTTTCTGTCACTCAAACCACTTGCACTTTCTCACAGACCCATTTAAAGCCTGTATCTGCCATGAAAGGCAGCCGCGAGAAACGGGGAGCTGCTCCACCTGTAAAGCTGACAGTGAAGTGGGCTCCAGATGTGTACGATCCCATTCCTACTTCAGTGTCGCACGTTGTAACAAACAACAAGTCTTCTCGGCATAGCAAGAAGAATTCAAAAAACAAGCAAAAGAACGCCAGCAAATCATCATCATCACGCGGGAGCAAAGGTAAAGACAAGAAGCAAGTTCGAAAACGTGGTGGAAGATCTTCTTCCAGCATGGGTTACAAGTTGGCCGAGCACGAAGAGGAGGAGGTGGCTGATTTTCGTGAGCACGAGCCTGAGCCAAGTTCGATCGGTTTTCATGAGCAATTCTGTGGAAGTAGCTTTCTGAAGAGACATGGAACGAGCTTGCATCTTTCGTCAGTTGCGGAGGCTACCTAGATGGCTTTTGGGCAGCAATCCTGGTTCGTATTCCTTATATGTAAATAAATAATAAGATTGCAGTTTTTTGTTGGTTGAAAATTGCTACTATGAGTCTTCCCTACTTCAATTTTTGTAGATATTGTGTTCGATATTCCACGGGGTTGTCTCCATGGAATACAAGAATGGTAGTATGGTACGAAGCCATGGATCTCTTTTTCCTTTGGCAAATGGTGGTTGTTTTATGAGCTTTCAAGACTTTGGTCGTTGTGAGTTCCCTTTTTGGGATTGAAAAATTACGATGTCGTTTGCATGTTCTTTTGAATATATATATATATATATATATATATATATATAATGTTACTTTAAATCCACTGTAACTTACTTTATTTTAATTATACCCTTGTCGGTTAGCTCAACTGGCAATAAGACAGACATGGGTCTTTGGAGATTCTTTTCAAAGGTTATTGGCTTGAGTCCTAAGGATTTCTTGGCCCTCGGGATTAATCGAGTTATGTACAAGCTGATCCGCATATCCATAATTGACACAAAAGAAATGATACGACATATATCTTTGTTTTATGGGGTGTTTTGTTTATTTGTCTGCATTATGGTAAAACAGGTTAGATATTTAATGTTTGTTAAATTATATTTAAATAATAATATCATTTTCTTTAAAATTGAATTTTTTTTTTTGAAAAACTTAAAAGTTTACATGAAACTGTCGTGCAATGAAGCAAGTGGTTGGACTGGCTCGCTAGGTTCATTTGAGATGATGCTTTAAATTAAAATGTGCGAAGAAAAATAAAGTTTTAGATCCGTGTTGAGCAATTATTTGGGATTGAGACTAAGAATCGTGTGAGAATAAAAGTTAAGATGAAAAACGTAAGAAAAGATTTAAACATTTGATCACTTTTAATCGCAGCCCACCCTATGAATTGTGTTTCTGACGGGTTGATTCGGTATATCTTGATGCATCTTATTAGTGTTGATCTTTAATACAATTGATCTAAGTATAGAGATCTGTTCTTATCTTTCTCATAATATAAAAGACATCAAGAAACAAAGTCTATGATGTTGTTTTCCCCAAGTCATGTAAATAAGTGTTCTTGTCAGTTATTTTTGGTTTCCACATGACCCATCTTCCACGGGTCAAAGTAAACGCGGTCCAACCTTAAGTGTTTTGCTATGTCTTTTTCAATATTGGAAAACCAAATTTTTTATGGTAAAATTAATTAAAGATAAAGTTATTATTTATTTAATTAAAAAGTGTAATTGTAATAATTATGCATGACTTAAAATATTTCAATAATTCAGACAAGTTAATACAATAAAAGGTCACCACCAAGTTAAATCTTTTAATAAAATTGTATATTAATTATTTAGTGATGCACCTTTTTTTACATGGATTGTACTATGATTAAAAAAAAAAACTTTAGATAGATGTTTGTCACTGAAAAATAAGTATAACCTATGTGAAAAACCAATAACATTTATATTAAGACATTTTGTCATCTGATTTATCACAAGAAATTTATGTTAAGATTAACATTTACATTTATGTAGGTTGGGGTGACAAAAGAAACCATAAAATTGTCAACCATTCAAACACCATTTAAATTGGGTCCTTGCAATTTAAAATGGCAGGTATTGATTTGTAAATCATGAAATCATCACGCATATGTGTAAGCTTTCTTTGTAAGGATTGACTATAAATTAAAATAAAATATGAGAATGGTTATAAAGTGAAATGAGACATCAGACATGGTAGTTTTAAACACAATACGACATATGTGTTTGTTTTCTTGAACACGTTAGATATTTAATGTTTGTAGTTATAATATAAAAATAATAATGTCATTTTCTTTAAAATTCAAAATATTTTTCTTTAAAAAACTTAAATTTACACGAAACTGACATGCCATGAAACAAGTGATTGGAGTGGTTCGCTAGGTTCATTGAGAAAAATAAAGTTTCAGATCCGTTGAAAGCAATAATTTGGAACTGATAGGTTAAATAACACCAAAATATTCGAATAGAAAGGTCCTAACAAGTATTGGACACTGTTTATAAAATACCAAACGATGTATGAACCTACAAATCTTGTTTGTGTATGTATATTTGTGTTGACAATAAATACTTTCCATGAAATTATTAAACAAAATGTGGTGCCTGATTGGTTTGAGTTTGACTCAAAATGTCAAAAGTACCAGAGGTCTCATGTTCAAATCCAAGAAGAATTAAAAATCCCCTTATGACTATGGAGGTTCAAATGCGGTCATGGAGGTTCAAATGCGGTGACTCCGAGCATAAATCTTTGCAATTTAAACGCTAAATTATAAACGGTGTTAGACTTGAGAACTTTTGATAGGACATCGTTGCAATTTAAACGCTAAATTGTAAATAAAAAATATCTGTGGAGAAAATCAGCAAATTGATAATAATTACAGGGACTAGATCTGTAAATACTGGATCTGTAATGTTACATGGACATTTGATTGTCGCCAAGTCATCGATCCTAGTGAGCACTTCTCAACCAATGGGAATCAAGCAGGCATCATTATATACATCAGACTCCAACCAATCTCTCTGTCTATTCAATCTCTTCTCGTCTCTATCACAAATTCTCCGCTCGATGTCAGCAGATGGCGCCGACGAAGGGAGACAAGAAGCCATCGACGGCGGATAAGAAGCCATTGAAGGCTGAGAAGAAGCTTCCTAAAGAAGGCATTTCGAGTACCAGCATAGAAAAGAAGAAAAAGAAATCGAAGAAGAGCGTCGAGACTTGCAAGATCTATCTGTTCAAAGTATTGAAGCAAGTTCATCCTGATATCGGTATCTCCAGTAAAGCCATGGGGATCATGAATAGTTTCATTAGCGACATTTTCGAGAAGCTCGCTCAGGAATCGTCTCGTCTTGCTCGTTACAATAAGAAGCCGACGATCACTTCTCGCGAGATCCAGACTGCTGTTAGGCTCGTGTTGCCTGGTGAGTTGTCGAAGCACGCCGTATCTGAAGGTACCAAAGCAGTTACAAAATTCACCAGTTCTTAGCTATATGTAATTAGGTATAGAGAGATATTTTGAGATTCGCATCATTTACTGAGTGTTGTTTCCAGACATCTAGATTTTCTTAAACAATTTGATTGCATTTTGATAATCGATATTTATATTCTCTTTCAGGTTACAATGTTTCTTTGATATTTTTGAAATAGATTACCCTATTCCAAAATTCAATTGGAATTCTGTTCTTCATACGATTGGTATTTCTTCTCGTCGACGGTCGATCCAGATCCAGATCCAGATTTGAGATTAGGGTTTAAAGCGACACCTTAACTTTTGAGACATTTATAACCTTGGCATTGCAATTGATGTCACTGTTTTTTAGCGTATAGTTTTTATATATATATAATAAATAAACTCATACATTATCATCGGATTTAGTGAGATTTGAATCCCTGGCCCATTGGGATGCCAAAAGTTCACATGCTACAACCTTTAATTCATTGACATAACTGTTGAGAGGAAGGGGGTTTTCTCATTTTTGTAGGCCAAAAACTCATTTACCCTAATTCATTGACGCAACTGTTGGGAGGGAGGGGATTTTCTGTGGGGTTGTTTAGTTGTTATTAATGGGTGATATTTAAATATTAATAAAATAAAATAAATTATATTTCTTCTTGTTGCATTTTTTGTGTACACGTCTTTTCTCTTCATACACCCTAGGGATCTCCAACGGAGGTTAATGGATACATCATGCATTGTGAAAGGAGGTTAATGGGAGTTGCATAGAATAGAGTTTCATGGTTATTGTATGCATCATAGCTAAATTAATGGGACCCACTAATTTATTTTTTCTTTTATAATTAAATTTATAAGGATTTAATTATGATATTATTTATATATATATATATACACACACTATAATATGATATTTATTAATCAATAAATTAATTTTTATTTTTATTTTTCTTAATTTATAAAAACAACATAATTAATAAAACATTACATTAATTTCAAAATACATTACATTAATAAGATATTACATTAATTTTAAAATACATTACATAAACTACATTTAGATTTAATTTCAACCAAAATGGAAAGCTGCAAATGCTACATATGGAGCTACTAGATGTTCATCTAATGAACCTTCCATCAACTTGGACGATGTTGAAGTTTCAACTCGTCCAATTGGTACAAAAGCAGCAAAAAAAGCAGCCAAAGGTAAATCAACAAACTCCACATCATCAGGTAGCCGAGTCGATGAGATGTTTGAAAAACATATGGTCGAAAATAATAAAAACTTTGAACGGTACCAACAAAGTTTGGATACGAAAAATGAGTTGAAAAAACAAAAAATCAAGAACGCTGAGATGAA